CAAACATAAAGATCACATAAATAATGTTGCATTTGTTAGAAATTTTTAGCATGCATTTGCAGCAGGGGTGATTCTTTGATTCTCTTTTTTGGCAGGCATGGTATTTTGTAATATTTAACTTCTGCCATAAATTTTTTGTGCGTGCTTGTGCTTTCTGTGTTATAACCTAGTAAGATGTATTCTGTGTGTGTTATTTTCCATGACTTTGCCATAGCCAGGCAGTTAAAAAATGATGTGACTATAATGCCTCTAGGAGATAAAAAGGAAAATAAGGAACACACCTATTGTTTGAAATATGGTCGAGTGTGTGTTGAACACACATCTTGAAATCCTTACGAGTGCAAAAGCAGTAGTATCCACAACCATGTATTTTGATCCACCACAAAATCCTTGATTTCTCATAGAAGAAAAACACTAGATACTCCAAAGAGACCTCAAATCTCTTCTTTGGAACATAATACAATACAACTATAAAACATTGGTAATAAGCATTCCAATTCCCAGACAGTCTGTGTGCCTTCTTCTGCTGCCCCCTACTATATCCTGGTCTTAAATTGACAAAACTCTCTGTTTACCATTACTAACCTCTTTTTCCCTTCCTGGTTTTTGCTTTCAAATTATTTATCATTTAATTATGAGAGATACAGCCATGCATCCAAGAATGTTCTGTTTATTTTAGCTTTCAGATGCACTTGCTGTTTTCAAACAAATTATGTGGCTGTTACTTGCCTTTAAAATCAATCCACTACAAGTGCATTGAAGAAGCTATGCAAGAAACTTGCTGAGGGTCTGACAGGGTTTGGCAGTGAGAATGGACATGTGGGGGATGTACAAATGCATAAGACATAAATTCTTCCACTGATTTGGGGGAAAAAATCACGAGCCTTTGTTTGTCCTGCTCCCTCATACTAGAATGCCATTCTCCTAGTCTTTATTGGAATCTCCACGTTGCTTCCTCCATGAAGCCCTTCCCAGAATTTCATAAAGCTCACCATCTCTATATACTCTCAAGAGGTCATTGTACATCCATGTACTTCCTCTTTCTGCTTTCATGTGCGATAATAGCCATTATAGTTGTGCTGTGGCTATTCAATTTGAATGAATTAAAAATATATAATACGAAAAACTGCACTAGCCACATTTCACTTGCTGAATAGCCACACGTAGGTCGTGGTTTTTATGTTGGATCACACAGGTTTAGACCCTTTCTACCATCGCAGAAAATTCTGTTGGAGAGCAGTGTACTAAATTGTAAGTTTTTTGAAGGCAGTGGCCTTATTTAAATTAATACAGTTCAGAACTTAATAGAATAATAAATGTGAAATAGGCATATCTTGGGGGTGATACGATGCAAGAAGGAAGATCAGGATTGGTCGGTGCACAGAACTACATGTTACTTAAAGCTCTAATGTACTTGAAAAGATTGCATTTGTCAGTCTTCTCAAAACCATGTATATCATGTCTGCTGAAATAAATATAGGTAGCAGAGATTCAAGTAATTGTAAACACATGAAAACCATAAATAATATACAACTAAATTTTAACTAATGTGGTCACAGTGAAGTACATGGGTTAAAGAGATGATATCTGGTGTTTATCTATCAATTCAAGGAGCCAAAATATCTAGTCTACCTTCCTATTCAAAATTCTTCAAAATGAAATTATTTTAATGGTCTTGAAACATAATTTTTTTAAAACTTTATATTCTGGGAATGCATATTCTAAGAATTCTGAGAAATTCTATGCTAGTAAAGAAATTAACACTTCTATTTTTTACTGGTGAAATAAAAAAGTAAGTTACTTTTACAATGAAAAAGAAAGTCACTGCATTTAATTGAACTGGAAAAATAACAAAATCATTGGTTTGGTAGAAATATACTATCTCCTTTTCCAGTTCTATAACCAAATAGACTCATACGTTTTTGTTCAATGCCTACATTGGTCTTTAATGTCAAGATAATGTCCCTACGCAGAAGGGGGATTCTGCAGGGTGAGTGGACCTGGTACAGGGGAGAGGAGTATGGCCTTTGGCCTCTGACTTAGCCACTGACTGACAGGGAGGTCTTGGGTAGATTACTTAACAGCTCTGACTGTTTTCAGTCATTTTATGATGGGACCACTGATTGTTACCACAAATTTGTCAGGAAGTTTCTGGAAATTGGCATAGAAACATCAAGCACTTGTCTGGCATGTCTAATACCTGTCTTTCCAATACTGAATTCAAAATCTGCCTTTGTCCTTCCGTGGGAACCCACTAGTATCTCCACCACCAAATTCAGCTCAATAACCTGAGATTCTGTACTTGATTTTTTTTTTGATGAGTGATACTTTTTCTTGTTCTTGTCTGTCCATACATCTTATATCCTTTCTTTCTTATCCATGTTTCTTTAATGGCAACAATTACAAACTGAGACAAAGAAAAGAACATTTTAATGGGATTTTAAAGACAGAGGTAGCCTATGCCATTTAGCTTGAGAGTAGTTTAAAATAACATAAAGCTGTCAAAATTAAAAGGCACTTTAGAATATTATGTGCCACTTTATATACCAAGAATGGCAACACTGTTCATTTGACTGAGCTGGCTGGAAGATTTGTCCTGCGTAAGTAACAACTTACCATTCAAAGGAACATTAGCACATGGGGTGGGGTCCACCTACACACTGTTACGACTTTGGAGAAGGAATAAATCACAATCCTTTGTCTGAAAAGCCCCCCTGCCAACAGAACACACACGCACACATTTTGAACCTCTTTCTTTGATGCCTTCTCCTTTAACCAGCTGATTTGCTTTGCATGATACAGGTTTTTGGTGTGAGGGAGATGTGGTTTCTGAATCAAATGCCTTGACTACTACTTAGTTAATCTCTTTCCTAAACAAAGCTTTAAGTTTCTCATCTTTGTAAAGGAGATAAACACCCTTATCTTGTGTGATTATTTTGTTTTCATGTTTGAGAAATAGATGTTTAAACAATTCCTGACATGCTTTCTCAATAAATATCTCCTTTCTTACCTTTTTCTTAGGTATTTTGTGAGGACCCAGTGAATTAACCTGCTATATAGTGAGAGATAAGAATATAGAATTTGAGTCAGAACTGGTTTCAAATCTTGGCTGTGCCACTTATCGGCTGTGTGATACTGAGTGTTATGTAATGAATTAAAATGATTTCTTAATTTGTAAAATGGGAATAGTAATTCCTATTTCATGCAGTTGTGGTGAGGATAATGTAATATGTGTATCACTTGCTCTGTATTAGACCTGGTGTCTACCAGGCATTATTAAAACGCTGTTCCAATTAACAGGGGTCTGACTTATGTTCAGCTTCTACGAAGATTTCTTCTAAACTAGATTTTAAGTTTCTGGAGAGTGAAGGGCCACATTTTACTCCTTTTCTGAACTCTGTCAAACCTCCTAAAGTAGTGCCAAGTGCGTTAAGTCAACATTTGTTAGGATTATAGCCAGTAGAATAAATACCTGAGATTCTTTGGACTACCTACCTGTCAGCCACCAGTCTGAGATGATCAACAGGAGCAACTTGTAATGGAAGCTGAATCAAATTAATGGGGTTTCCAAGTATAATGCTACAACAGTTGTATTATATGAGTAGAACTTTATGAAGGATTATGTAGTTGGCTCACATTTCTATAATATACACTAATTTATTCTGTACCTAGGCTGTAATCTATACTGCATTACTTTAAAAAATGTGTGTGGCCTACCATGGGTGTTATGCAATACAGCCCACTGTTCAGATGCTCTTGACAGGGGCTATATGCTTTCTAATGACTTCACGATGATTAATTATAAAGAAAAAATCAAAATAAAAAAAAGAGAGAAGGAATTGAATGTAAAAGGGGAAAAAGGAAAACCATCATGTTGAATAGATGGCAAATTCCACCACATACTGCCTTGGCCAGGCTTTTCCAGACTTACACATATTAGATTTATTTAGTATCATTATTCATGTTACATTTTGTCATTTTAAAATAGTATCTTTATAAAATCATTATAGAATCATACAGCTGGGATGTACTTAAATATATACCTCTTTAATGTACTAAAATTAAGTATTTGGGAGCATACAGGGTAATTTAAAAACACACTCTTAGACAACCAGGGAAAATAATTTTAGAAACCAAAATTTTAATATTTTTAAAGTTAAAACACACTGAAAATTTTTTCAAATGCTTTTCCAAATCTTACTTTTTTCTTCAAGATTTGCTTATTTAGACGTGATTATTGTGATATTCTTTACAATCTTATCATTTGGTGCATTATCCCCATGAGGTAGATCTTACTTAACTTGTTATTGATAAATAATACACGACACAGAAATTTTGATGGTTTATTTTAGAATGTCATGAAATATGAAAGAATTAGAATGGGCTATTAGGGTTTTAGGCACTCCGTCCAGAGTAATTATTTTGAGTGATTTATGTGGTCTTGTTAATGGAGAAATTGGAAAGTAAATAGGTGTAAGCTCTAATTGCCTGTATATTAATTATTTTTATACCATGGGAGGTGCAAGCTTCTAGTTCCATTGTTATGTTTGTATATTTCTCTGTAAATCAGAAAGGCCAATTTTATCCATTCTTAGACAAATCAAATGTGATCCCTATTCTTTTTAGTTTGTGTTTGAAGATAGAGCAAAACTAATCATCATTATAGTGTTTATTGAAGTGAAAACTTGCATATGTTTGTGTGAATGGCTAATAGACTCTAAAGGCTATAAAATTCAAGAATATTTGGAAAGATGGTTATGTGTCTCCTCTACAGTGTATTTGTGACATTTGTTTGGGAGGTTAAAAATTCTGATTTGGTCTCATAGTAAAGAATTTATTAAAAATTTTAAGATTTCTCAATTGCTCCTAAGTAAGATATATGAGGGACACTCTTCAGATAAATGCTGTGTAACGTTAACAAGAAAAAAGGTTATCTTCTTATATTGGGCCCCTGAATTTCAATCTCTTTTTCATCTTTTTTTTTCTTAATTTAATTTTAGGGGGCTGCTGAAGTATCAGACTAATTTAGATACCCATCCTCCTGGCTGCATCCATCTTAATGGAACCAACCGCAAGAATATTTACTTACCAGGGTATCTCCCAGAACATTTTCATGCATCTTTTCCCGGAGGATTTTCAAGACCAGAGGAGCTTACCCAGAACACATTTGTGCAGATCTGTATGGAAGAGCCAAGGTTTCAAGCTAATTTTCCACAGGTCAGATTAAATCTTTGTCCTTGATGGTCTCTGCAAAGTCCATGTTCCCATAACTACTGATCAGCATTGCATTTAAACATGTTTTTGCAGGTATAGAAAACCATTATTCTTGTAGAATAGAACATTTCAGGATGTTTGAACAGCAAGTTAGTGCTTTTTACTCCAGTATAGCCTACTGATAGTTCAAGGAGAAAGACCTATGATATTACAGAAATAGAAAATTGCTGCTTAACTGGCTGTATAGTATTTGCATATCCATGGAAAAAAATAGGTTGAATAATAAAAACAAAGGTGAAAGACCTAATCCTAATCCTAATTTTGATTATAGTATATATAATATTACTATAAATAATACATTATGAAATCAATTTATTTAATGCTTAATATGGATGCTAGGCACTGTGCTAAAATGCCCTGTAAGCATAATTCTTTCCGTACTCACAATAGGTCTTTGAAGCAGTTACTGTCATCCTGAGTTTCTGATGAGGAAAATGTGGCTTAAATACATAAAATACCTTAAGCAAACTCTACAGACTAACGTGTGGCAGAAGTAGTGTAAAACCAGGTCTTAGACCAAAATGCTTACTCTTGGAAAACATCTTTCTTAAAAAACTCAGTGAGTAGTTTGATAAGGGCCCTAAAGGTTCCACCTGGCTCTGGCAGCAGCCCTCAGGGGAATCACACCCTTTGCCTACATCAAGCGAAAGTAGGGGAAAATGATATCAAATGTCTTTTTTAAAAAAAGAAGGGTCAAAAGGTAGAATCTGTCGATGACTTCGGAATGAGTGTGCCAGTCTTGTGGTCATTATTCCTAATAATAATGCTCTGGAGTTCTGTTAGACTTGACAGTTTTCAGAACATTCCTGGGCTCCCTACAAATGCTGTGTGTTAGGCAGAGCAGGTATTGTGATTTTTACTGATGTGCAACCTGATGCTCGAACAGTCAGAGACTGTCTCAAAGTTGCAAGCCTCTGCACTGCGCAGCTTGTTCTGTGATGACTTTGCACAGTATGGGGCTTACTCCATACAGCAACAGGCATGATCTGTCTGTATGGAAGGAGAAAGGTCTGGAATAACTGTGTAAATAAAGCTTTAAAAAGTGACCATTAAAATAAGTCTGGGTTGGCAGCCTCCAAGTGATGAAAAAGAAATAGCATGCAATTGCAGGAGGGTTGGCCACAAAGGCTTCTGCCCTTCTGAGAGTATGCTGTTGTCCTTAGGCGCACATGCAAAACTGCCATGCTTTTCATTTTCTAAATACTATCTTCTGTACACATTATATTTATTATGTAAACATAAGCAAAAGTAAAAGTGGTATGCTATAAACATGCTTACTATAACCCATATTTCAAAAATACACATGTATATATTTTATATCATGTATACATTATGTATATGTACACTCTCTGTATATATTATATGTATTAAAATGTGTAGGATTTTCTCTTTCTAACAAATATTGGACTTGCACATTTTCTTTTAAAACCATCTTCTGATTTATTAGAACTTTTAACTTCCCTTTCTTTTATCTTTGTATGAAGATATTGTGTAAATGCACTACCTATTATGTGCACAGAAAAATACATGAAACAATGTAATGCTTACCTGTTAATGGTGGCTGTATCTAGAGCAATGGTTTGAGGCTAGGGTCTTGACATTACTTTCACTTTTAATTTTACACTTTAGTCGTGTCTGAATAACTTGCAGTGAGCATGTCACTTTTGATTCATTTTGTTTTATGTTTTATATTTTAAAATGAAGATTAAATATTACTACTGTAATGTACCACAGTAAAATCAGCAATTGGGCAGGATATAAAGATTCCTACAATTCAAGTATTTCTTAAAGTGTGTTTCAAAAATTCTCTATTAGACTTGGCTTTGGATATCTGGACCTTTGTGCCTGTATTGTGCCGAAAGACTTTACAGGTGTATCCGGAGCAACAAGCCAGTCACCATCATCTCAGTCATAAGTCATCCCTCAGATGTCATGGAAATCCGAATGGTCAAAGACAATTTTAAAGCAAGACCTGGCCAGGTGAGTCAGTATTTAGTAACTTTTAAAATACTCTTTATCCTTATAATTTTTGAAAATTAGCAGAAGTACCATCATTGGAATACTTGAACTTCTTACTTGGTCACTTAAAAATTATGTTTGTTGCTTTTTAGTATATTATTCTACATTGTCCCAGTGTGTCTGCATTAGAAAATCATCCGTTTACCCTCACAATGGTAAGAAATTTAATTTTTGATTAAAAAAACTGTTATAATGAAAAACATCTTTTTCTTTTTTATATGTGTACTCCACCTCATTCTAAAAATCTTTTAAGGCTGTCACAATACCCTAAATGTTTAAGTAAGGCCTTTTTTCCTACAAGAAATATCATTATCTGTTCAGAAACTTTGTAACTGTTACGTATTATTTTCTGATTCTTTATAATTCAGGAAGTAATATGTTTAAAACGTAGTAAAGCTTGTTGATTCAAAATGCAGAAAATTTCCTAGGTGTTTGCAAATTTACTTTTTTGAAGTGGGTACCAAAATATAATATGTGCATTGATTTCTTTAGAGAGATAGGATTTTAGGGAAAAGAGGGTACTATGAGTTGAGGTGGAAGCATAGAAGAAAAAATCCAGGCAGCATTTAGAAAAGAAAAAGTCCAGTGTAATTGGTGTCCAGGATGTGTATGAGGAACAGAAAGGAAAACAAAATTGGAAAATTAAAATAGAATAGAAAATAGTGGTGTGGCAGGGGAGGGTGGAGATCTGGCTTAATTAATGGCATCACCAAATATTTTTAGTCTACAGCACATTATTTAACATTATTTAACTTTTTTTTCTTTATGGAAATAGCATGAGCCTATTATAAAAAAGTAAATAGTTCGAAGTATAGAAGGTAAGATAGGAACTTTTCTTTATTTCCCCTATCTTCCTAATCTTTTTCTTCAGAGTTTGACATCTATTTGTCCAGAAATTTTCCTACATATTTGGCATATATAGGGCTATTTGACATTTGTTTGCTCGATCATTTGTTTTATAAGTTGCTCTTTTCACTCAACAGTATGTCTTGGACTATGTTCCATGTTACTGTATGTGTATATATGTCTCATTCCTTTTAATGACTGCATAATATTCACAGTAGGAAAGTACTGTAATTTCCTTAATATTCTCCATTGACGATGGAGATTAAGATTTTATTGAGTTTCTAAGAGAGGTAACTGAGAAGAAGAACCACATATCTAAATAGATGCCTAAGATATGCAAATGAAATTGAACAAAATATGGTAGGGAATGACGAAAAATAAGTGGTGTCAAAGTGCTGAAATGTAGGGACGGAGTTGTCCTGGGAATGGGAACCACTTTCCAGATTTGATATATTCATAAAGTTGATAATTTGGAAACCTTGGTCAAGTCACTTCCTTTTTTTTGTGCCTTTGTTTTCCCAAGGTAATATTGTGATAAAAACAATGCCTATTCATAGATGTGTTATGAGTTTAAATGAACTACTACAAGTAAAGCATGTAGAACAAAGCTTGGAACGTGGAAAGTGTCAGGTACATGTAAATATATATCAGCAATGGTTACAATTTTTGTTATCTCTGTGAGCTTGCCACTTGAAACATGCATTTTTTTTAAATGTGATGGCAGAAAAATATCTATATTTAAGGGATAAAAGGCAGAAACCAGCTTCAGTTGCTCCAAACTTTGCATTCTATTTTTGTTTGTGAATGATTAAGGAAAGGTATTTTGGCATTTAGTGAAGTGACTAACAGCACTTCATCTCATCAAGAAAGATGGCAAGTGGGCTACCTTAGGGAGGAAAGTACGTTATACTTGTTTCTCCAGTAGAAGGATGAGTGTTGTCCAGACACCCTGTCACCTGGCACTGGGTAGGTGATGATCAGAGTGAAAGGGGAGCTGTGTTCTCATGAGGAATAGTGAAAACTTGATGGTCTTCATGGGATATAAACCCGGGATCTCAGTCTTTGGACCCAGCTGTCATCGGGAGCTAAGTACCCATGTCATGCCCTTTGTTCCTCTAGGATATGCACACCCTACAAGGTGTTTTAATAAGACTGCCCTTGTTCTGTGAGAACAGCAGGATGCTTGGCAGGTATATCTGATTAACAGACCTTTGTGTGCAACATTTCTGCTGAATCACGAAGCCATGATTGAAGCCACTACAGTCAGAAGCACTGAGCTTAGTTCTCCGAGTTGTCAGACATGTTTCCATTTCTCTGAACCCATACATTCCACAAACATAAAGTTGGTAACGTGAAGAGAAGGGGAAGAACGGAAAAGGGAGAAAATACACAAGTACAATGTTCTTCATTTAAATGGTTTAAGAAGTTTGCCTGATCTTGAGGTCGTACAGAATTTACTTCAGAAATTAACCTTCCTTTGTGTTTCATACTTTATTTTTTTTCCAGCTTTACAGAGGTATAATTGAAAAATAAAGCTGTATGTATTTAAGGTGTATAACATGAGACTTTATTTCAAAAATCATTTTGTCACCACAGCATGAAACAGAGAATATACATTAAGAAAGGAAGGTAGTTGCTGAATGTCAAATACAAAGAAGACACAGGTTTGTTTGTTTTTTACATAAGTGTTTTCCAACATACACAAAAGTAGGGAAAATAGTATACTTGACCCTTGAACAATGCCGGGCTTAGGGTCACTGGTGCTTCTACACAGCTAAAAATCCAAGTACAACTTTGGCTCTCTGGAAATTTACCAATAGATAACTGTTGACAGGAAGCCTTAGTAATAACAGAAACAGTTGATCAACAAGTATTTTGTGTCATATATATTATACACTGTATTCTTACACCAAAGTAAGCTAGAGTAAATGTTTTTTAAAATTGTCGCAAATCACAACAACTTCTTTGGTATTTTTATTGATTTTGGGTGGGACCATGCAATTCAAATGCGTATTGTTCAAGGGTCAACTGGATAATGAAGCCCTATATACTCATCACACAGAGAGAAAATCCAAGAACTGTTCACTTATAGTACATACAGAGTAGAGACTTCTAGATCTAATGTTTTTCAGTTGTCCCAGGACCCTTTCCCAGGGAAAAAGGAGAAATGCAGACAAGAGTGGTGTGTAGGACCTAAGGGCTTTAAGGCCTCATGTCGCCTGACCTACTTTCCAGAAGATGTCTGGCTGTAGCTGTGGTAGCCTTGGAGATAGCTTGAGGCACAGATGGGAGGAAGGGAAAGGGGAGCAGGGAGTGCAGGGAGCAGACAGAAGAAAAGGAACTGGGAGTAGGAGAGAAAGAGTTGAGAAAAGGGAAGCAGATTATAGTCATGAAAATGGGAGTGAGTATTTGCACAAAAGGCAAGCAAGTTAGAAGTCAGTCCCAGCTCTGTCACTTGCTAGTTCTGTGCTGGGGTCTACCTTTGGGCCTCTCTGTAAACCCGAGTTCCATCATCTGCAGAATAGCCCTAGCAGTGCCATCTGGAAGGGATATTGTCAATGTCAGCTTAGTGAAATAATGTGTGTCAAACCTCTGGCACGTGATTGGTGGCCAGTGTTCAGTAACTATACTTTTATTACTCTTGAAAACAACTTCAAGATATTTGCCTTTAATTTGGATTATTGTCTTCCCTTCTGCAGTTAGGTTTTTTGAGAAGCAGGTACGGGACATTGAACATGTGGTTTTTCAACCTGAAAATGAGAAGCTGTGGGGATCTCACAGTAGTCTCAGTCATTTGAAAATCTGTCATGTAGATGGAAGATTAGATATTTTTCCTTTGGGATCCGATGGTGCAGAAGTAAGATTAATAGGTAAAAAGTTCTAGAAAAACAAGTTTTGATTCAATATAATACCAATATTTCTAACAATGAGACCAGTACAGAAACTTAGAAAACTATCGCACAGGAATGTCTGGGTATTTGTACTAGTTCAGGACTTTCCAACCTTGGCATCATTCACATATTGGGTCAAATAATCCCGTGGTGTGGCATGCTGTCCTGTGCATTACAGGGTGTTTAGCAGCACTGCTAACCTCTGCCCACTAGATCCAATAGACCCCTGACTTATGACAAGAACAGCGTCTCCAGGCATTGCCAGGAGGGGCAGAATCACTAACAGTTGAGAACCACTGTGCTAGATCTGTAGTTGCCCAACATAGGCTAAAGTGCTCAAAGGCCCCAGAATGTTCTCCTAGGAGCCACTAAAAAAAGGGAGGATTAAGGAAGTAGTAGAGAAAATGAGAGGTCAGAGCTCCTAGCTTGTGTTCTGGTAACTCTAGTTTCACTTCAGTGAGAACAGCTCAAGAAAAACTGGTCTGCAGATGAGTACTCTGCATAAGTACTCAGACGAGCATTTTTCACCTAGAAATATTTTTTGTTTACTTAACTAGTATCCTTTCTGGAATTGCATAAGGATGATTGTGGCTACTATGAGTTTCTGAATGCTGTCATGCATTGTAGACCTTTCAAAGAGACTTTGATTAATTTCCAAACTCATGGTTTTCCACATTTGCTGCCGTGAACTCCTGAATAAGTTTTTGGAATCAAAAGTAAAGATAGGAGAGCAGTGTAAAGGGAAAAACAAGTTAATCAAGAGTTAAAATGATATAAGAATATTCTCAGGTACTTGACATTTTGTCATGTGAAGGAAAGATTGTTATTATTTTTTCCTATGGAGTCCTAAGGGGTGAGAACAGAAACCATAGCCCATTATCCTTAGAGGGCAAATGTTGGTTCAGGGATGACTTTGGGAAGCAGGCTGTGTTTGGCTGGGTGGGGGAGGCACTGCAGAGCTTGTCGTCACCTCAGTGAAGCTCTGTTAGGTGCACAGCGCTCCTGACTCCCCTTAGGAGCAGCCTGCTGCACCGAGGCCCCCCACCCGGAGCCCTGACCCCAGAGGGGCCCCAAGAGTCCTCAGCACAAAGGCTCTGTGTCCAGTACTGTCATTTCAGAAGATTCGACTTCAGGGGTGTGTCAGATGGAGGCAAAGAGATTGCATGACTGAAGTTTTATAGTCATCATAGTTTTTCTTCTTTGTTACTTTTCTCAATTAAGAAAAATTTTGCCCTATTTCTCCTGCTTCTCCGTGCTACTACTGCTCCAGTTCTCTTAAAGGGATATGGTCCTCTGAAAATTCTCTGAGAATAAAAAATAGGAAAGAAAAGACATTTTTTGTGTGACCTAAAATAGCTTGGAAAATCCTGCTTGATATACATCACTTTTAGAAAGTCACAGTTCCTGTTGACATATTA